GGTTCCAGCCCCTTCCTCAGCCCTGGGGCCCATGCTAGGATCTGCTCCCCTAAAGGGGAAGAAGGGAAGCCCCGTTATGACTATTCCCAGTGTTGCCCACACTTGGATACACCCACCCCTCTGAGAAAGGGAGATCTAAATAGGGAAGATTAAAATCCTCCCCAAAGCCCACTACAATGTAAGCTTATGAGGAGGAAAGAGATGTGTGTGTGTGTGTGTGTGTGTGTGTGTGTGTGTGTGTGTGTATTTAAATTTCTGTAACTAGAACAGAGCCTAGAACAGGGCCTGGCACATAGCAGGCACTAACTATGTATTGAATAAGTAAATTTGAAAAGGGGTAACAGGGTCAAGGAAACAGAAGGAATGTCAAGGTCCAGCTCTCAGCCAGCTCTAGAGGCCGTTGGGGAGGACAGTGAGCCTCAGGCAGAAGTACTTTGAGCCAGGAGAGGAACACAGGGGTATCTTTGGTGAGAGCATGAAACGAGATTGGTATAGGATGAAATTTGGAAGAGTCTTTGGAGAGTGCTAGGGCATTATTACCTGGGAGGCATCTGGAGGCCAGGCAACTGCTAGGCTGACGACTCCTGTGCTCCGGCATCCTGCTTTCCTGGACAGACTTTGGTCCAGAGAGTTGAGGGGGGTCTAGAGTTAACCCCTAGGCTCCCCAACTCCCCAAAGGTAGCTGCCTTTAGAGGCCTACACTCACACTCTCGGGGGAAACTGAGATCAGTGTCTGTGGGGAGCTCCAGACCTACCAGGGCTGGCAGACAGTAAAGGGAGGGGCTGGTTAATGGATAATGAGACAACGAAATTGAGACTATGAAAAAGACAGACCAGGCTCCATCAGCAGAAGCTGATAGGACAGACACACCCTCCTCCTCCTCTAGAACCTTTGCTTCCCCCTTTTATCTCCACCTCATCCCCATTCTCACCCTCTTGCCGACACCCCCCCCCAAATTCCTTCTCCTTACCCCCATCTCTGGCTCCTCCTTCTGGGGGGCAATGTTGAAACTCTGGCCCCGGCCCCCCCACCACATTTCTCTGGCTCCATCCGGGGACGGAGCAGTTAAGGGTGGGAAACCTCAAGGATGCTCACCCACCTCAGGGAGAGGCTGAGTCTTGTTGAGAAGAGGGCAGTTAGGGAGAGGGGTAGGGGGTTGGACACAAGGGAAAGGCGCATTTGAGGTGCACAGAGCAGAGTGTGGGGGTCCTTGGAAAGGTGTGTCCAGCCCAGCCTGAGAAGTCTCCTCGGAAACTTCAGTCGACTCTGGAGAGGGCGGGAGAGATGCCCAGCCCCTTAAAGGAGAATACACACAATTCTGGAAAAGTGGAGAGGAAACGGTGGAATCTGAGACGGACGGGTTGGGGAGAAATGGGGACTGAGAGAAAAATACCGACTCTCTTCTTTACCCCAATCCCAGACCCTGTTCTCTTCCTGTTCATGAGTACTGGGGACTGTTTGAGGGGAGCAGCTCTATTGATTATGAAGCTGGAATCATTTGGGTTACCTCTCTGGAGTGTCTCAGTGATGACTTCCCTTGGAAGCTCAGTTCTTTTGTCTTCTCAAAGGGGTTTGGGGCAGGGAGAGGGGTAGGAATGTGAAAGTGGTTCAAGCCTCCTTGTCCCCTCTTCCAGAAGAAAATGAAAATTAGACCTGGGGGGAATTAGGTGGGGAAGCAGGGAAACTGGTTAAAGTGGTTTTGCATGTCTTTCTCTAGAGGGCATGACACAGACATCATGTGAAGAGTGCAGTGGAGAAGTATAAAAAGAGATGGAAATGTGTCCAAGATGCAGGCACAAGTACAAGTATGCTTGTGTGCAAGTCTTGTGGATGCAGGTGGGACAAAAAGATCTTACCAGTTAATCTTGCCCATCACGTAGATACACAACCAATTGGTGCCCATTCCCGTATGTGACTCCACCCCTCCAACCCAGACACCAGATCTCCAAATGAATGATTCATGTTCAGGGCTTTCACAGGTGAGGGCTGGAAACCTCTCTTCAGCTCAACAGTCCATCCCCCGTCCCTCCCATCTGCAACCCAAGAAGCAAAGCTGGGTAAGAAAAGCTGGGAACAAGGAGAGAAGTCAAGGAGCTGCAGCTCCTTTAAAGGAGGGGGACTTGGGGACAGCAAAGCAAAAATCTTTATTTAGACATGAAAAAGACAGAAAATAAAATACAAAATAAGAGTTAATGAGCTGTTGTTTTATTGCTTTTGAATCTACAGAGGCAGCAATCCTTAGGTGGGGGCACCAGTTTTCCAAAGTGACACTCAATTTTTCCCTCCCCCCAGTACACCACCCTTCTGGCCTCAGCTTTCAGTTTCCTGTCTTGGCTGCAACTGTGGAAATAGTGAAGATATTGTGAGACAGGAAGTCAGTCTGCAACAAAGAGGTATACACCTGCTAGGAAGGTGGCCCAGAAGCCTGATTCTAGAAGTCCTAAAGGCTACAGAGCATCACCACCCCACCTCCCCCTAATGCATTCCATGGGCCTCAACCTCTTGGGGGAAGAAAATACTTCCCAAAGTCTGTTGTAAAAAGAAAATAGGGGCTGGGAGCAGTGGCTCACACCTGTAATCCCAAGCACTTTAGAAAGCCAAGGCAGGCGGATCACTTGAGGTCAGGAGTTCAGGACCACCTGGCCAACATGGTGAAACCCCATCTCTACTGAAAACACAAAAATTAGCCAGGTGTAGTGGCTCACACCTATAATCCCAGCTACTTGGGAGGCTGAGGCAGGAGAATCGCTTGAACCCAGGAAGCAGAGGTTGCAATGAGCCAAGATCTCATGACTACACTCCAGCCTGGGCAACACAGCAATACTCCATCTCAAAAAAAAAGCATAAGAAGAGGTGTGTACCTAACTTTTAAATCCCATTATCCACTTTCCTTCTCACCACCATCCTTTATTCAACAGCCTCATTCTATTATTTAGCACTTTGAGGTGTGGAGACAGTGGAGGAACACGGAGGAAAAAATATCGGGCAAGGGTGTGTGGGGGCGGTGGCTCATGCCTGTAATCCTAGCACTTTGGAAGGCTGAGGTGGGTGGATCACCTGAGGTCAGGAATTCGAGACCAGCCTGGCCAACCTGGTGAATTCCGACTCTACTAAAAAAACAAAAAAAAAGAAAAAAAAAAAGGCCGGGCGCGGTGGCTCACGCCTGTAATCCCAGCACTTTGGGAGGCCGAGACGGGCGGATCACGAGGTCAGGTGATCGAGACCATCCTGGCTAAACCCCATCTCTACTAATAAAATACAAAAAACTAGCCAGGCGAGGTGGCGGGCGCCTGTAGTCCCAGCTACTCGGGAGGCTGAGGCAGGAGAATGACGTGAACCCGGGAGGCGGAGCTTGCAGTGAGCTGAGATCTTGCCACTGCACTCCAGCCTGGGCGACAGAGTGAGACTCCGTCTCAAAAAAAAAGAAAAAAGAAAAAGAAAAAAAACATTAGCCAGGCGTGGTGGTGGGTGCCTGTAATCCCAGCTACTTGGGAGGCTGAGGAGGCAGGAGAATCGCTTGAACCCAGGAGACAAAGGTTGCAGTGAGCCGGGATCGCGCCATTGCACTCCATCCTGGGCGACAAGAACGAAACTACGTCTCAAAAAAAAAAAAAAAAAAAAAAGTGGGGGTTCGGGGGAAATTAGGAGAAAAAAATTGGGAGATTTGGATCAATACTTAACCAGGAATGGAGTGGGCAGGAGCTGAGGGTTAAGGCTGCCTCTCCCCATCCCACACACCCCCAGCAGAAGTACTAGATGAAGACCAGGGTGGAGAGGCAAGGGGCTATGTCAGATTTTTCCATTTTCAGAATCCTAGTCTGGCTGCAGGTTTGTGCCAGGAGTAAAGGCTGCTGGGAGGGGCAGCCGGAGGAGGGAGGTGGAGCTGAGTGACTCACAAGATGAGTCACAGATCCAGTTATAAGCACAGAAAGAGGCCAAGGTCCTTCCCACCCCCATTCCTCTTAACTGCTACCAGCCAGCTTCCGTTGCTCTTTTCTACTGCCCCTTACCCACTTGGCCAATGCAGGAGGTGGCACGGAGAAAGTCTACATGGGGACATCGTAATATTTTGTTACCCAACCAACATATGGAGGCAAAATACCCTGTGATTTGCAGACGGGGTGTCTGCAAAGTAAAAAAGACAGAATGCCTGCATGACTCATCCAAATCTATAGTTGAAAGGCCTGGAGGGAAAGAAGGAAATTAGAAAAATCTGGAGTGCAGGTGATTCCAGGCCGGGAAGGGGCTTCTAATTCTGTCTTCTCACCTGTGGCTGTACGTCTGGGGCACTGACTCATTGGAGAAGGAAGACACAGAGGCCGGGCACGGTGGCTCATGCCTGTAATCCCAGCACTTTGGGAGGCCAAGGCTGGCGGATCACCTGAAGTCAGGAGTTCAAGACCAGCCTAGTCAATATGGTGAAACCCTGTCTCTACTAAAATACAAAAATGAGCTGTGCATGATTGCGGGTGCCTGTAATCCCAGCTACTTGGGAGGCTGAGATGGGAGAATCGCTTGAACCCAGGAGACGGTGGTTGGAGTGAGCCGAGATCGCACCACTGCACTCCAGCCTAGGCGGCTGAGGGAGACTCTGTCTCAAAAAAAAAAAAAAAAAAAAGAAAAGAAAAAAGAAAGAAGACTCAGAGTCCAGAGGTGTCTGAGTAATTCAGAGACAGTCATCTCTGAAATACTCTTTACTGAGGAAAAAAAAAAAAAAGTGACTGGAACCTTGGACACGTGGCTAAAAGGAGTAAGAATGGCAAAAGCTAGGTTCTCAGAACACATTCAAAACCAGCCTCCTTCTTTTGGGCTCAGTATCCCCCTGCAGATATACAACATGAAGTCACTGCTAATTCTTGTTTGTCTGTGGGCCTCAGTTTTGCTTGATAGAAAAAAAAAAAAAAAAAACCAAAGCTGAGCTAATAGAAGCATGGCCCTCTACAGCACTGAGTTTAACACCATCCCCACTCCTTAAAAAGACTGAATCTTTAAAAAAATCTTTGGATATAATCTTTTTATTTTGTTGATAAAAACCAGTATGGAGGAAAGACTTCTAGTTAACTCTTGTAACTTTCAATAAATGCAGCATAGGTTAAGGAAGATGCAGAGGCCTAACCTACAGTAATACTTACTCCACTGGAGATGCGGCGGAGAGCATAGCAGGGAGGGAGTAGCACTGTCTAACATCAAAAAGGGAAAAACAAGAACCCTGAAAATCTCCCCTCTCCATTAAAAACTTCAGTAGGTACCCCAGTTGCCCTGGATTAAAGGAACTAAGTGCACTTAAATGTAAGCCTGAGAGATATATCATCCCTCACTTGGGGTTAAAGGGTCTACCTTCCCCCTTCACTCACACACCCCTCCTTAACTAAGCAATTTTTCTGCCCATTTCCAGTGCAGGCCATATGTCCCTTCTTTCCTTCTGTCTAACCCAGTAACGACATGGGCTTGCCTCTTCTATTCCCTCATCCTCCCAAAATACCACAAACCAAGCTGAATCTATATTAATTTCCCAGGCATTATTCCTTCACCTCCCCCCATCCCACCAAGTCCCTCCCCAAAAGAATGAAGCAAAACAAACTTCACTATCTCCTATAAAAAATATCCATTGTCTCAGGGTCTCTCATCCTTAGAATGGAGAGGTTTTTCAATGCCTCAATAAATAGTTACCTTCCCAAATAAAAAAAATAATTTATTTCTTAATAAAAAGCTATAAGGCCGAAAGCCCCATTTTACCATATTCACCCCACACCACCCCTCAAAATTTCCATCTTTTTTTATTTGAAAATAAGGCAAAAGGAATTGGGATTGGCTAACTTATAAATAAAAACAAACATGATACAAGGTTTTTTGTTCATTTGTCCTCAGTTGTTAAAAACAAAAGTATTAACTAGAATCTAACAACAGATCAAATCCAAACACAGCAGTCCAGTGGAGAATCAAACTTTTCCGGCTTTATTCTCTGGGAAAACCCCTGGTCTGTTTTCATTCCTATTGGTCCAGGCCAGCATCCTATGATATGGAGGCCTAAATTAGGAAAGCTAGGTGAGCTGTGCAAATTCAGGGTGTCTGAGCCACCTGTTGTTGTTTGGTGTGTGATGGGGGTGGAGGCACACACAGTGGTGTTCTCACTAGTGTTGTTCAAATCACAGAAACAGGGACGTAGCTAGGGTGAGGTGAGTAAAGCACTCACCTTGGACACAAAATTTAACGAGTGCCCAAAAACCCAGTAACCAAGATAAATACTATTTTAATGCAGCATTTTTTAAAAATCACAATTAATGTAAAAAAAATCTATGATGGACAATGTATTAAAATTTAAATTAAAATGATTCATCCCTATACTTACTCAATTCAGTCCCACTTCCCTCCTCCTAATCTCAGTCCTGTCAGATCCTGTAAGATTTCACTATTTTACTCAACATAAATTTTTTGCACTAATTTTTTAAATACTGCATTTTTAAAAGTATCTTGATTAATTAGTTTTATAGTAACCCTTAAATTTTGCACCTTAGGGGAGTGCTCATCTCATACCAGGTTCCAGACCTGCTTAGACATATACACATCCCTTCCTTTGGAATCTCACTGCTTCTTTAAAACAAATCTATTTTCAAAGAAAAAACCCTAAGAATTAATAGCCATAGGAAATTATTAAATCAGATTTGGAAAATAGGTGATTTCTGAGTTTGTTGAGGAGAAAATAACCTTTCTAAACCGTGAGCATTTCCAATGAGGACAATCTTGACTGGCTACCGAGGAGGAAAACACACACACATATATGTACGCACACATGCGCATGCATGTATGCACAACTGCTTTAGATCAAATGTGGGGATTACGTCCCATGGGATAGGTTATGAGTACATACCTCAAAAGAGAAATCCAAACACAGAAAAACAGCCCCAGTTAATACTCTGGACACATAAGTACACTTATTCTCCTTCTTCACATCCACCCGGGAGTGTATACAATTGCATAGTTGACTTTTTTTTCCCGGAAAATAATATAAAGAAAAAGGAAAATTGGCCCAGGATAGGTCTTCTGGTTTAAAGCTCTTAGAAATGGCTCTGGCCAGAGCATAGGCTGTTTAGACTTGTGCTTTGTGCAAAATGTGAAGGAGCTCCCCCTCCTGTGTCCACATCCCCACTCCCAGCCCCTAGAGAACAGGGATGGGTCAGGGAAAGGGAGAAATCTAAAGACAGATCAGCTCATTGGGAGTCATCTGTGCTCTGTGGTTATAGTTCACTAAAATATATTTCTCTAACTACCTTTTTATAAATTGCCCCTATATATTTCAACATCAGTCCTAATATCAAAAATATCTCTTCTTATAAAGTATTTTTAATTATTTTAATAAACTAACCACAGATTAAGGTCAGCTATGGCTTAACAAAAGAAGCCGGGATGTTAAGTTCATTCTCCAAAAGTAGAGCAAAGGGAGAAAAACCACTTAAGTAGGAGAAAAAAAATCATTTCTTAAATGTTTTTGCTTGCTGGGGTCTTTTCCTTAAAAAAAAGTCAATAAAATAAGTTGCTTTCTACAGAAACGCAGCAGCCATAAAGGATTGTAGTGCTCTACTTAGGTTTTTGGTTTTGTTTGAAATAGTCTGGCTAAAATGTCTGTCCTCCCACCCCTCCCAAGGTGCGCTCAAACCCCAATGTATGGTTATTGCCGTGGTTAAAAAATAGATCAGTTCTGTCCCAATTCACCTGGAGAAAATGCAACACACACGACTGCTATTCTCACCACGCTCTTCCCTTTCCCACTGGGAACTTAAACAAATACAATTAAAGACTTAGATGAGGAAAAGATAGGGGGTAATCAGCAATCTCTTCTCAACTCTTCTCAAACTGAAACAGGTGACAGATGACTGCTTGGAAGGAAATAAAGCTTAAGAGGAAAACGATTTCCCTTTAAGTTCCTCCCTTTCCCATCTAAACAAACGGATTTAAACTACCCCCACCTCCTAACAGGCACCCATGAGGACACATTACTGCCTTGTCTTTCCAGATCCTTCAAGGAGAAGAATTTATCCAACCTTAATTTCTATCTTAATTCAAATCAATAGCAAATATGTCCAATTTCCCACTTCCCCTCCACACCTCTCACTCCACCACCATGTGCTTTTTCCCAACCTAAAGAACTTTGGTTTTCTTTTATTGACTGAGAACCTCCTTTGCCCATTCCTCCCCAAGACTTCTGCCCACCTCCCACCCCCACACACCAAACCTTCCCCTGCTACTTTCTCTTAGGTCCTTGGATGGGACCCAGGAGGTTGTAAGACAGAATCGCCATCTTTCCCCCTTGTACCTCAGTCTCATCAAGTCAAGCTCTGCAGGGGAATAGTACAGCCCCTGGGGCGCCATCCAGCCCCGACCTGCTCTTGCCAGCCTGGCAGCACTCCTGTGCGCACACACTTAAAAGTTTCCAGGCAGGCTCCCACAAACATTACTGCATTTGCCCCATCAACATGGGGACTGTGTTCTTGATGAGCCAATTAGTTGAGCTTAACTTTGTTTAGCCTCCTTGCCCTTCAATGTTCCACCCGTTCAGAACCTGTGCACCAGGAGCTCCCCATCCGGTTCCCGCTCCCTCCTCCTCAGTTCTTCCCTGTAACAACAGGAACAGAAGTTGTTTGTCTCAGGGTGTCCATAGAAGCTGCAGTTCGGTTGTTTGCATTTGGTCTGGGTTGGGGGAAGCCCCCGGAGACCTCCAGCCCATCCATCTGGCTCAGGGGGCTCTCTGTAGCCATTGCTATAGGAATTGGCCACTCGGTAGGGGGGTGGTAACAATGTACCCCTGTGAACTCCATCCTTAGAGTGGCTGCCTGGCTCCAGAGAAGGGATGCTGTCCTGATGGGGGTAGGGTCGCCCAGGAGGGCACTGTCTGGGGAAGGTGGCATATGGTGGTAGGCCCCCGACACATGGACCTCCTGCCAATTGCCTCCGGGGTTCCTGGCAGTGGACTCCACCCCCAGAAGGCCGAGGGATAGTAAAGCCCCCAGGGTAGCCAGTAGAAAATGCCATTGCCTTGGACTCTGTTGGGGGACTGGTCGGCTGCTCTTCCCTAGCATCTGGCTCTGGCTTTTTGGCTGGAGGAGGGCCACCCCCTATTCCTCCATTCATGATCTTCCTCTCTGCCTCCTTCTGCTTCTGTTCTGCCAGGAATCTCTCCTCAGCATCAGAAAGGTAGCGCTGGATCATCTCCTCCTGATACTGGTGACGGTGACCCATCTTCAGGGTTCCAACAAAAATAAACTTCCCCTCCCCTTGCATGGCAGTCCTCAGAATGCTCAGGCTCTGCATCACCTCCTGGCTATACTTGCTCCCTCCGTTACCAATAGACTCAGCTGGGGGCTTCTCAGACACAGGCCCATCCCCAGCTGCCTCCTCCTTGCCACCCTTCCAGCTCTTCAGTGCGTTTTTCTTCTTCTTCTCCAGTGTCTCAGTGCCGCTGCTTCCCCCCGACCCTGTCCCCACCCCTCCAGGCTTCGACCCCTTGCTGTGCATCAGGCCCCCCATGTTCTTCTTGAGCTTGCTGCCCAAGGTTTTGCCAAAGCTGCCCAGTTTGTTAGCTACAGAATCTGCTCTCTTCTTTTCCTTCTCCCGATCTCGCTTTGACTTCTCCTTCCGCCGGCCGCCCTCGTTGCTGGTGGAACTGCTGCCAACTGACTCCTTGTCTGAGTCTCCAGACTCAGGAGTGGACCGGGGCTCATCTCCAGCTGAGGCAGTGGGGGACTCAGGCTGGGCCAGAGGAGCCTGGAAGAGACAAGAACACTGTTGACAGTTATCCCAGCAGCCCGGGATGGGGGAATCCCCCAGGGACTCTAGCCCATCCATCTGGCTAAGGGAGCTCCCTGCAGTCATGGCTATAGAAATTAGCCAGGTAGAAGAAGGGTGGACACCTATGAACTCCGTCCTTTGTGTGACTGCCTAGTGACTGCCTTGCTCCAGAGAAGGGCTGCTGTCATGATGAGGGAAGGGTCACCTAGGATGACACTGTCCTTCCTGGGTTCCAGTCAGTCAGCTTTCTCCCCCACTGCAATCTGACTCCCTTCTGTAATAAGGAGATAGTAGAATGAAGCCTTTCTGTTCATTTAGAACAACGAGCAACCATATGATATGTGGCTTCTGGGTGAGAGGCCCAGGCACTAGAATGTTCTTCATTATAAATTTCTCTATGCCAAATTCTGCTCAAAACTAATCTCAAGAAAGTCTTGACTAATCAAAACTAACCAAGTCTAGCCACTTTGTATCCCCTCAACTTTTATACATTCCGCATTGGAGTTCATCAATTTGCCCTTACTCCTGTGCTCCTGTTCTAACTCAGAGCCCACTGAATTATGAGCTCTTTAAGCTACTCCGTCTCCTAGTGCCCAAAACAGAGGTCTATCTACAGAAGACTTAGGACAAAATAATGATCATCTCAAGTTCAACAAAGAGTCCTGAAAACCTTTCTTAAAGAATATGTTAAGCCAGGCGTGGTGACTCATGCCTGTAATCCTAGCACTTTCGGAGGCCGAGGTGGGCGGATCACCTAAGGTCGGGAGTTCCAGACCAGCCTGGCCAACATGGAGAAACCCTGTCTCCACTAAAAATACAAAATTAGCCGGACATGGTGGTGCATGTCTGTAATCCCAGCTACTCAGGAGGCTGACACTGGAGAATCGCTTGAACCCAGGAGGCGGAAGTTGCAGTGAGCTGAGATCGCACCACTGTACTCCAGCCTGGGCAACAAGAGCGAAACTTCATCTCAAAGAAAAAAATACAAAAATTAGCTGGGCATGATGGCGGGCACCTGTAATCTCAGCTACTCGGGAGGCTGAGGCAGGAGAATCGCTTGAACCCAGGAGGTGGAGGTTGCAGTGAGCCGAGATCGTGTCACTGCACTCCAGCCTGGGCGACAAGAGCAAGACTCCATCTCAAAAAATATATATATGTTTCAGTATCAGATAACAGAGCCTGGCTGGAGAGGAGATGTGGAAAACAGGAGACTAACGGTTTTAAAAAAGCAGGAAAGGGCCGGGTGCGGTGGCTCATGCCTGTAATCCCAGAACTTTGGGAGGCCAAGGTGGGTGGATCACCTGAGGTCAGGAGTTCAAGACCAGCCTGGCCAACATAGTGAAACCCCATCTCTACTAAAAATACAAATATCAGCTGGGTATGGTGGCACACATCTGTAATCCCAGCTACTCGTGAGGCTGAGGCAGGAGAATCGCTTGAACCCGCGAAGCGGAGGTTGCTGTGAGCCAAGATTGTGCCACTGCACTTCAGCCTGGGTGACAGAGCAAGACTTCCTCTTAAAAAAAAAAAAAAAAAAAGGCAGGAAAGCCCAGGCGCGGTGGCTCACGCCTGTAATCCCAGCACTGCGGGAGGCCAAGGCAGGCAGATCATCTGAGGTCAGGCATTCAAGACCAGCCTGGCCAAGATGGCGAAACCTGCCCTCTACTAAAAATACACAAATTAGCTGGACTTGGTGGCGCATGCCTGTAATCCCAGCTACTCAGGAGGCTGAGGCAGGAGAATCGCTTGAACCCAGGAGGCGGAGGTTGCAATGAGCCAAGATTGTGCCATTGTACTCCAGCCTGGGCGACAGAGCAAGACTCCATCTCAAAAAATATAAATAAATAAAAAATACAATAAAAACAGGAAAAAGTGTGTTTGGAACTTATTTGACAGCTTCTAGTTACTTCTAACCTTGAATTGTAAGCCACCACTCAGAATAGATTCAGAAGGAAACCATCCCAGATCTCCTTGTTCTGTCACTGAAAATGAAATGCAGACACACCAGGGTAGATATGGGAGAAGTCTTCACCTGTGCATCAGAGGACAGTGGGATCCACTTCACATTCATGTAGCTATGCAGCAGATGCAATTTGACCTCTAGGGACAGAATTACACTATGAAAAAGAGAAAAAAAAAATTCACTGTGACCTTTCAAAAGCAAAGCAATTTGATATAGTTGGGAGAAAGGGTGGGAGATGGCTACATGGCTTAGGACTCAAATAGGGTTGGGTTTGAACTATTTCTCCACTAATTAATAAGCTTTATGACCTTAAGCAAGTCACTTCAACCTCCCTGAAACTCAGTTGCAGCTAAGAATGGGTATAGATAATATCTATCTTGCAGGGTTGTTGTAAAGATTAAAATAGTGTTTGGAAAGAGCCCAGCACAGTGTCTGGAAAATGGAAAATACTAGACAGTAGCCATTATTATTGTTGTTGTTGTAAATATTATTTAGAAGAAGCTTTTGATAATTAGGTGAGAGGTTATTTTTAAAAAGTCATAAACTCTGGATTTTAAAATCAAACTCTCTTAGCTGGGACCCAGTGGCAGGAGCCCAGAGAGGAAAGCGCTGGGTAAGTACTAAGGGAGGAGCTTTTGCATTCATACACTCTCCATCAGGAAGTTGATGGAGGAGGCAGAAGGAAAGCTTAACAAGCCATAGGGAGGTAGAGTGGGGGCTGAGAGGGTAGGGAACATATTTATCTTGCTATTAGTTTAAATTCCAGAAGGGCAAAAACTCAGAGCAAACTATTTTGATCACTTATTTATTTATTTATTTTGGATGGAGTTTCGCTCTTGTTGCCCATACTGGAGTGTAATGGCACCATCTCAGCTCACCGCAACCTCTGCCTCCTGGGTTCAAGTGATTCTCCTGCGTCAGCCTCCCGAGTAGCTGGGATTATAGACATGCGCCACCACGCCTCGCTAATTTTGTATTTTTAGTAGAGACGAGGTTTCTCCATGTTGACCAGGCTGGTCTCAAACTCCCGACCTCAGGTGATTCGCCCACCTCAGCCTCCCAACATGCTGGGATTACAGGCATGAGCCACCGCGTCCAGCCTTGATCAACTCTTTAAAACTCCTCTCACTTGGGCTAAGATAAGTGATTTGATTCTCCTGATTTTCTTTCTTTCTTTCTTTCTGTTTTTTGAGACAGAGTCTCACTCTGTCACCCAGGCTGGAGTGCAGTGGCACGATGTCGGCTCACTGCAACCTCCAGCTCCTGAGTTCAAGTGATTCTGCTACCTCAGCCTCCCAAGTAGCCGGGACTACAGGTGCACGCTACCACACCCAGTTAACTTTTTTATTTTTAGTAGAAACGAGGTTTCACCATATTGACCAGGCTGGTCTTGAACTCCTGACCTCGTGATCCACCCACCTCGGCCTCCCAAAGTGCTGGGATTACAGGCATAAGCCACCACGCCCGGCCTTATTATCCTGATTTTCTGATTACTCTTTTAGGAATGAATCAGTACATGAACACTTTTCCTACTGTAAGAAAAGAACAAGTTGAGATGCTAGGATTCCCATCTCTTTCAGAGGGAGAAAAAGCAGCTACACCATGAAAGAGTCCCGGTGCCCAACCTGTCCTCTACCTCCCCATCTTCACAAAACTCGCCTTAGCTTGTGACCGTCTTGCCTGAGCTGAGGAAAAATCCCGGGGAGATGGATGCTGCATGTGGAAGAAATCCCACCTACAAAGTAGATGAAAAGACTAGGCCTGGCTTACCTGGCCAATCGGACATTGTCATTATCATCTTTGCCCCACTCCCATCCTTTTCCAGGGTCCACAGCAAAGTGCAAGGGCAGCAGCTTATACTCTGAATCTGTAAGTGGGATCACAGCTGGGGAGGAAGAAACATATCATTAAGGAATTTCCTTGAGAGAGAAAGGCAACTGAACACAGACTTACTTCACTAAAATCATACTAAGATCTTTAATTGTAGTCACTTCTCAGTTCTTACATGTGAATTAGCCCAGCATTAAAACTAATTGGCTAGTTTTCCCGCTACCACACAGCACATGTTTTAGGCCACAAATCTCCCTGAGTCCCCACCAGTCAGTTAACTAACTCTCACGATGTTCTTTCCAGTTAATGTATATTCAGATAATTCAGTCATAATTTAACACAAATTAGAAAAGCATCATTTAGAAGCTCTTACCACCTTAATCATAAGCCTTTACTCCAGAAGTGGGAATATAGGTCTTGCTTTACTCCCAAACCCCCACTTTTTTTTTTTTAATTTGAAAACTCTGGCATAACTTATAGCTTAATAAAACAGTATCAACATGTGCTGTCTGGGCTTGCATGTCACTTAATTCTTTCCTCCTACATTAGATCTCATTCAAGTTTTTCAAGTAAAAATAATGCAGACCAAAAGACATGTCATTCAGCACCTTGTTCCTTGGTATTCTCCTTCTGCTCCATGGACACGAGTGCAGAAAAGTGGGCCTGATCATATGCGAGCACCAGAGGGGAGCGGTGACATTGGCTGGCTGGGACCTCCAAAGGCAGATAGATTCCTCCAAAGGGAATAGGGGCAAATGCTGCAGGAAGCCATGAAGATTATTATGAAGGCTATATTTCTGCCTAGTAGACAATCCCTTCATCCCATTCTGCCAACTGAGCCCCTGCTTTCATTCCAACATGTTTAATAATTCTTTCCTAAGAAGCCCTGTCAACTAATCCCAACTGCTTTACTCAGAATCTCTTGAGAATTTTGCACTATTCTAATTGATAACTTGCTTTTTCCCCAAGGGTCTATATATCCCCTTTCCTGCCTTCCTTCCAATGCTTAGCCTAAGGCTCTGCAAAAGGGGGTGCTCAGGATGGAGTGAGGACTGACTGGCTGACTCACCTTCCCCTCCGGAGTCCCTCAGCATGGTGTCTGCCACGACGACTATGGGCCTCCTAAGCACATGAGCAAGGACAAAGACGTGAAACTCTTCAAGGCTCTCATATACAGGCTCCTCAGAACTCTCCACCCTGGAACGGCGGGAGGGGAAGAGAGTGGAAGGGGTGCGGTAAAAATGAGAGAATAGAAACAGGAGACCCTGAAGACCAGTTCTGCACAAAGGGAAAAGAATGCCCTTTCCTGGTTTTCCAATCTTAAGGCTGCCACTGATGTAGCTGATTATTTTATGCTACCATAGCTGTTTCTACTTCCTTTTCACATATGGGGAAATCCAAGAAAAGAGATTTGAAGTCTCTGGGGTTAAAGCAGTGTTAGGAATTTGGAGGTAATCCCTATCTCTTAATATTCCTCCTGTTCAATAGCCTCTCTCCATTCTCTTTATCCAGTAGCTCAATACACAACTGCATAGTTTCATCCTACTTACTTCATATACTACAACCACCCACACGTCACACTCATGTCTTATAAAAACGATCAAACACAATTCCTTTCCTATGTTCCTTCACTTAAAGAACAGCCTCACCATCTATCCAGTAGCCCAATCAGAAATTTGTGGAATATTTACTGTGCTTTTATCTCTCACCTTCCAGTAATCACGTGGTTTCACCAATCCCATTTCCTGTGTGTTTCTTTTATCTGTCTCCCATGGCCTACCTTCAGTCTACCTCACTGTTCACATCCATGGCCCTTTCCTGGATTACTACAACTGCCTCTTATCTCACTCCTTTCCACTTCATTAACCAGTGGAGTCAGTGTGTTCAAATATGGAGGGACAAATTTGCTCCTGTCATTCACATACTCAATATTCAATGGCTTCCACCCCCTAAAGCAATTTTATTCAATACTGGATGCTTATTACAAACAAAGATTTCTGGGCCTTACCTCTGTCCAACTCAACTGGACTTTTCTGGGGTGGAGGTCCAGAAATTAGCATTTTAAATAACTCTCCCAGATTATTCTTATGTACAACCAAATCTGGATAGGTTATAATTTTTAACCATTATGGAAAATTTCAAAATTTTAAACACATTCAATACTAGAAATGATAGTATACTAAACACTCATGCATCCATCACCCAGCTTTAACAATTATAAACACATGGTCAACCTTTTTTTTTCCTTTAAAGAGAAAGTTTATTACAGCATATTACAGGCTTGTGTCAGTACTAAATGGATCAATAAACAGATTCTAGGCTGCACTTTCAGGAATGCACCCAAAGCTACTCCTCAGATCTAGGGTAGCATGGGAACTGCTTGCTGCTCCTGCACATTTTTTTTTTTTTATACTTTAAGTTCTAGGGTACATGTGCACAATGTGCAGGTTTGTTTTACATGTCTACATGTGCCATGTTGGTGTGCTGCACCCATTAACTTGTCATTTACATTAGGTATATCTCCTAATGCTATCCCTCCCCCCTCCCCCCACCCCACAACAGGCCCTGGTGTGTGATGTTCCCCACCCTATGTCCAAGTGTTCTCATTGTTCAATTCCCACCTATGAGTGAGAACACGCAGTGTTTGGTTTTCTCTCCTTGAGATAGTTTGCTCAGAATGATGGCTTCCAGCTTCATCCATGTCCCTGCAAAGGACATGAACTCATGCTTTTTTATGGCTGCAGAGTATTCCATGGTGTGTATGTGCCACATTTTCTTAATCCAGTCTATCATTGATGGACATTTGGGTTGGTTCCAGGTCTTTACTATTGTGAATAGTGCCACAATACACATACGTGTGCATGTGTCTTTACAGCAGCATGACTTATAATCCTTTGGGTATATACCCAGTAACGGGATGGCTGGGTCAAATGGTATTTCTAGTTCTAGATCCTTGAGGAATCGCCACACTGTCTTCCACAATGGTTGAACTAGTTCACAGTCCCACCAACAGTGTACGTGTTCCTATTTCTCCACATCCTCTCCAGCACCTGTTGTTTCCTGACTTTTTAATGATCGCCATTCTAACTGGTGTGAGATGGTATCTCATTATGGTTTTGATTTGCATTTCTCTGATGGCCAGTGATGATGAGCATTTTTTCATGCGTCTGTTGGCTGCATAAATGTCTCCTTTTGAGAAGTGTCTGTTCATATCCTTCGCCCACTTTTTGATGGAGTTGTTTCTTTCTTGTAAATTTGTTTGAGTTCTTTGTAGATTCTGGATAGTAGCCCTTTGCCAGATGGGTAGGTTGTAAAAATTTTCTCCCATTCTGTAGGTTGCCTGTTCACTCTGATGGTGGTTCCTTTTGCTGTGCAGAAGCTCTTTAGTTTAATTAGATCCCATTTGTCTATTTGGGCTTTTGTTGCCATTGCTTTTGGTGTTTTAGACATGAAGCCCGTGCCCATGCCTGTGTCCTGAATGGTATTGCCTAGGTTTTGTTCTAGGGTTTTTATGGTTGTAGGTCTAACATTTAAGTCTTTAATCCATCTTGAATTAATTTTTGTATAAGATGTAAGGAAGGGATCCAGTTTCAGCTTTCTACTTACAGCTAGCCAGTGTTCCCAGCACCATTTATTAAATAGGGAATCCTTTCCCCATTTCTTGTTTTTGTCAGGTTTGTCAAAGATCAGATGGTTGTACATGTGTGGTATTATTTCTGAGGGCTCTGTTCTGTTCCATTCGTCTACATCTCTGTTTTGGTGCCAGTACCATGCTGTTTTGGTTACTATAGGCTTGTAGTATAGTTTAAAGTCAGGTAGCATGATGCCTCCAGTTTTGTTCTTTTGGCTTAGGATTGTCTTGGCAATGAGGGCTCTTTTTCGGTTCCATACAGACTTTAAAGTAGTTTTTTCCAATTCTGTGAAGAAAGTCACTGGTAGCTTGATGGGGATGGCATTGAATCTATAAATTACCTTGGGCAGTATGGCCATTTTCACGATATTGATTCTTCCTATCCATGAGTATGGAATGTTCTTCCATTTGTTTGTGTCCTCTTTTATTTCGTTGAGCAGTGGTTTGTAGTTCTTGAAGAGGTCCTTCATATCCCTCGTAAGTTGGATTCCTAGGTATTTTATTCTCTTTGAAGCAATTGTGAATGGGAGTTCACTCATGATTTGGCTCTCTGTTTGTCTATTATTGCTGTATAAGAATGCTTGTGATTTTTGCACATTGATTTTGTATCCTGAGACTTTGCTGAAGTTGCTTATCAGCTTAAGGAGATTTTGGGCTGAGACGATGGGGTTTTCTAAATATACAATCATGTCATCTGCAAACAGGGACAATTTGACTTCCTCTTTTCCTGATTGGATACCCTTTATTTCTTTCTCCTGCCTGATTGCCCTAGCCAGAACGTCTAACACTATGTTGAATAGGAATGGTGAGAAAGGGCATCCCTGTCTTGTGCCCTGGAAGTTTTCAAAGGGAATGCTTCCAGTTTTTGCCTATTCAGTATGACATTGGCTGTGGGTTTGTCATGAATAGCTCTTATTATTTTGAGATATGTCTCATCAATATATAGTTTATTGAGAGTTTTTAGCATGAAGAGCTGTTGAATTTTGTCAAAGGTCTTTTCTGCATCTACTGAGATAATCATGTGGTTTTTGTCTTTGATTCTGTTTATACGATGGACTATGTTTACTTATTTGCATATATTGAACCAGTCTTGCATCCCAGGGATGAAGCCAACTTGATCTTGGTAGATAAGATTTTTGATGTGCTGCTAGATTCGGTTTGCCAGTATTCTATTGAGGATTTATGCATCAATGTTCATCAGGGATATTGGTCTAAAATTCTTTTTTGTTGTGTCTCTGCCAGGCTTTGCTATCCGGATGATGCTGGCCTCATAAAATGAGTTAGGGAGGATTCCCTCTTTTTCTATTGATTGGAATAGTTTCAGAAGGAATGGTACCAACTCCTCCTTGTACCTCTGGTAGAATTCGGCTGTGAATCCATCTCGTCCTGGACTTTTTTTGATTGGTAGGCTATTAATTATTGCCTCAATTTCGAGCCTGCTATTGGTCTATTCAGGGATTCAACTTCTTCCTGGTTTAGTCTTGGGAGGGTGTATGTGTCCAGGAATGTATCCATTTCTTCTAGACTTTCTAGTTTATTTGCTTAGAGGTGTTTATAGTATTCTCTGATGGTAGTTTGTATTTCTGTGGGATCGGTGGTGATATCCCCTTTATCATTTTTTATTGCATCTATTTGATTCTTCTCTCTTCTTTATTAGTCTTGCTAGTGGTCTATCAATTTTGTTGATCTTTTCAAAAAAACAGCTCCTGGATTCATTGATTTTTTGAAGGGTTTTTTGTATCTCTATCTCCTTCAGTTCTGCTCTTAGTTATTTCTTGCCTTCTGCTAGCTTTTGAATGTGTTTGCTCTTGCTTCTCTAGTTCTTTTAATTGTGATGTGAGGGTGTCAATTTTAGATCTTTCCTGCTTTCCCTTGTGGGCATTTAGTGCTACAAATTTCCCTCTACACACTGCTTTAACTGTGTCCCAGAGATTCCGGTATGTTGTGTCTTTGTTCTCATTGGTTTCAAAGAACATCTTTATTTCTGCCTTCATTTCGTTATGTACGCAGTAGTCATTCAGGAGCAGGTTGTTCAGTTTCCATGCAGTTGAGCAGTTCTGAGTGAGTTTCTTAATCCTGAGTTCTAATTTGATTACACTGTGGTCTGAGAGACAGTTTGTTATAATTTCTGTTCTTTTACATTTGCTGAGAAGTGCTTTACTTCCAACTATGTGGTCAGTTTCGGAATAACTGCAATGTGGTGCTAAGAAGAATCTATATTCCGTTGATTTGGGGTGGAGAGTTCTGTAGATGTCTATTAGGTCTGTTTGGTGCAGAGCTGAGTTTAAGTCCTGGATATCCTTATTAATTTTCTGTCTCGATCTGTCTAATGTTGACAGTGGGGTATTAAAGTCTCCCATTACTATTGTATGGGAGCCTAAGTCTCCCTGTAGGTCTCTAAGGATTTGTTTTATGAATCTGGGTGCTCCTGTATTGGGTGCATATATATTTAAGATAGTTAGCTCTTCCTGTTGAATTGATCCCTTTACCATTTTGTAATGGCCTTCTTTGTCTCTTTTGATCTTTGTCGGTTTAAAGTCTGTTTTATCAGAGACTAGGATTGTAACCCCTGCTTTCTTGTTTTCCATTTGCTTGGTAGATCTTCCTCCATCCCTTTATTTTGAGCCTATGTGTGTCTCTGCACCTGAGATGGGTCTCCTGAATACAGCACACTGATGGGTCTTGACTCTTTATCCAATTTGCCAGTCTGCGTCTTTTACTTGGAGCATTTAGCCCATTTACTTTTTTTTTTTTTTTTTTTTTTTTTTGAGACAGAGTCTTGCTCTGTCACCCAGGCTGGAGTGTAGTGGCCAGATCTCGGCTCACTGCAAGCTCCGCCTCCCGGGTTCACACCATTCTCCTGCCTCAGCCTCCCGAGTAGCTGGGACTACAGGCGCCCACCACCTCGCCCAGGTAGTTTTTTGTATTTTTTAGTAGAGACGGGGATTCACCGTGTTAGCCAGGATGGTCTCGATCTCCTGACCTCATGATCCACCCGTCTCGGCCTCCCAAAGTGCTGGGATTACAGGCTTGAGCCACCGCGCCCGGCCGCCCATTTACATTTAAGGTTAGTACTGTTATGTATGAATTTGATCCTGTCATTATGATGTTAGCTGGTTATTTTGCTTGTTAGTTGATGCAGTTTCTTCCTAGCATCAATGGTCTTTACATTTTGGCATGTTTTTGCAGTGGCTGGTACCGGTTGTTCCTTTCCATGTTTAGTGCTTCCTTCAGGAGCTCTTGTAAGGCAGGCCTGGTGGTGACAAAATTTCTCCTCATTTGCTTGTCTATAAAGGATTTTATTTCTCATTCACTTATGAAGCTTATTTGGCTGGATATGAAATTCTGGGTTGAAAATTCTTTTCTTTAAGAATGTTGAATATTGGCTGCCACTCTCTTCTGGCTTGTAGCGTTTCTGCTGAGAGATCTGCTGTTAGTCTGATGGGCTTCCCTTTGTGGGTAACCCGACCTTTCTCTCTGACTGCCCTTAACATTTTCTCCTTCATTTCTATTTTGGTGAATCTGACAATTATGTATCTTGGAGTTGCTCTTCTCAAGGAGTATCTTTGTGGCGTTCTCTGTATTTCCTGAATTTGAACATTGGCCTCCCTTGCTAAGTTGGGGAAGTTCTCCTGAATAATATCCTGAAGAGTGTTTTCCAGCTTGGTTCCATTCTCCTCGTCATTTTCAGGTACACCTATCAGACATAGATTTGGTCTTTTCACATAGTCCTATATTTCTTGGAGGCTTTATTCGTTTCTTTTTACTCTTTTTTCTCTGAACTTCTCGCTTCATTTCATTCATTTGATCTTCAATCACTGATACCCTTTCTTCCACTTGATCGAATTGGCTACTAAAGCTTGTGCATGCGTCGCATAGTTCTCGTGCCATGGTTTTCAGCTCCATCAGGTCATTTAAAGTCTTCTCTACGTTGTTTATTCTAGTTAGTCATTCGTCTAATCTTTTTTCAAGGTTTTTAGCTTCTTTGTGATGGGTTTGAACATCCTCCTTTAGCTCAGAGTTTGTTATTATCAATCGTCTGAAGCCTTCTCTCAACTTGTCAAAGCCATTCTCCGTCCAGCTTTTTTCTGTTGCTGGAGAGGAGCTGCGTTACTTTGGAGGAGAAGAGGCACTCTGATTTTTAGAATTTTCAGCTTTTCTGCTCTGGTTTCTCCCCATCTTTGTGGTTTTATCTACCTTTGGTCTTTGATGATGGTGATGTACAGATGGGGTTTTGGTGTGGATGTCCTTTCTGTTTGTTAGTTTTCCTTCTAACAGTCAGGACCCTCAGCTGCAGGTCTGTTGGAGTTTGCTGGAGGTCCACTCCAGACCCTGTTTGCCTGGGTATCACCAGTGGAGGCTGCAGAACAGCAAATATTGCAGAACGGTAAATGTTCCTGCCTGATCCTTCCTCTGGAAGCTTCGTCTCACAGCGGCACCCAGCTGTATGAGATGTTAGTTGGCCCCTACTGGGAGGTGTCTCCCAGTTAGGCTACTCGGGGGTCAGGGACCCACTTGAGGAGGGAGTCTGTCCGTTCTCAGATCTCGAACTCCGTGCTGGAAGAACCACTACTCTCTTCAAAGCTGTCAGACAGGGACGTTTAAGTCTGCAGAAGTTTCTGCTGCCTTTTGTTCAGCTATGCCCTGCCCACAGAAGTGGAGTCTACAGAGGCAGGCAGGCCTCCTTGAGCTGCGGTGGGCTCCCCCCAGTTCGAGCTTCCCAGTCGCTTTTTTTACCCACTCACACCTCAGTAATGGCGGACGCCCCTCCCCCAACCTCGCTGCCGCCTTGCAGTTCAATCTCAGACTGCTGTGCTAGCAGTAAGCAAGGTTCCATGGGCGTGGGACCCTCCAAGCCAGGCGCAGGATATAATCTCCTGGTGTGCCATTTGCTAAGACCGTTGGAAAAGCACATTATTAGGGTGGGAGTGTCCCAATTTTCCGGGTACCGTCTGTCACGGCTTCCCTTGGCTAGGAAAGGGAATTCGCCAACCCCTTGCACTTCCCAGGTGAGGTGATGCCCTGCCCTGCTTCAGCTCACACTCCATGGGCTACACCCACTGTCCGACAAGCCCCAGTGAGATGAACCCAGTACCTCAGTTGGAAATGCAGAAATCATCCCTCTTCTGCGTCACTCAAGCTGGGAGCTGTAGATTGGAGCTGTTGCTATTCAGCCATCTTCAACACATGGTCAACCTTGTTTCACTACGCCTCAAATCTATTTACCTCCCTCCCCCACCACGGGGCTCCCACCAGATTATTTTGAAGCAAATCCTGGACGTTATGTAATTTGATCTGTTTTTATTTTATTTCAGTTTCTATCTCTAAAAAAATAAAGGACTACCTTTTTATTTATTTATTTTTTTTGAGATGGAGTCTCACTCTGTCGCCAGGGCTGGAGTACAGTGGCGTGATCTCAGCTGACTGCAATCTCTGCCTCCTGGGTTCAAGCAATTCTCCTGCCTTAGCCTCTCAAGTAGCTGGGATTACAGCCGCCCAGCACCACGCCCAGCTAATTTTTTGTATTTTTAGTAGAGACGGGGTTTCACCATGTTGTCCAGGCTGGTCTCGAATTCCCAACCACCTTGGCCTCCCAAAGTGCTGGGATTATAGGCATGAGCCACTGCGCCTGGCCAGGACTACCTTTTTAAACAACCACTATACCATTAATATCACACTTTATAATTTTAACAGTAATCAAACACAGAGACATTGTTCACATTTCCTTAATTGTGCACCACCATGCCTGGCTAATTTTCTTTTTTTTTTTTTTTTTGGAAAGATGTGGTCTCACTGGCCAGGCATGGTGGCTCACGCCTGTAATCCCAGCACTTTGGGAGGCCAAGGTAGGTGGATCACTTGAGGCCAGGAGTTTGAGATCACCCTGGCCAAAATGGTGAAACCCTGTCTCTAATAAAAACATGAAAATTAGCTGGGCGTGCTGGCACACACCTGTAGTCCCAGCTACTTGGGAGGTTGAAACAGAGAATCACTGGAACCCAGGAGGCAGAGGATGCAGTGAGCAGAGATCACACCACTGCACTCCAGCCTGGGCAACAGAGTGAGATTCTGTCTCAAAAAAAAATAAAAAAGAAAAGAAAAAAAAAAGAAATGGGGTCTCACTATGTTACCCAGGCTGGTTTCGAACTCCTGGGCTCACGCGATCCTCCTGCCTCAGCCTTTCAAAGTGCTGAGATTACAGGCGTGAGACACCGCACCCAGCCTGATATGTCTTTTAACTGCATTTAAACCTACAAGTTCCTTGTCCCTTTTTATTTTCCTTGCAGTTTACTTACTGAAGATACTGGGTCATTTGTCCTGAAGTTTCCAAAGTCTAGATGAGCTACTTTATATTCCAGTTGAATACTGAACTACCTGTAGTTCCTAAACATCATGTTGTTACACTTTTGTGCCGTTAGCATAGCTCCTCTCTTTCCTTCTAATATCCTCTTAGCACAGAGCTCTCTAGACAGTGGGCTGTGGAAGCCCAGTGAGGACTCTATGAAGGTTTCCCACTCCCCAACTTAGCCATACTTACCCACCACAGTTGGCTCCATTGGTACCTAGATGCATTCGGGGTTCACTTGAGGCAAGCTTGATCAGTTCATTCCACTCCTTCTGCCATTCATCCTCTGTGTATACCAGCCCTGACTGTGTGAAGGACAGGCAGGGAACATCGGGCAATTAGAGGCTGGGTTCTAAGAGGCAATACCTATTCTACCTTACTCACTGTTACTCCACTCCCTAATCCCTTAGCACTTGGTTTACAAATTATACTACAAAGTCAAATCTCTTCCCTCTTTTACAGTCAAGATCCATGAACGAATAGTCTATGACTGTTACACTTCTTTATAATCCATTCTTTTTTGACCTATTGCAATCTGTCCCGTTTCTGCCCTCCATCCTGCTCACCCACCTGCCACATACCATTTCACCTACCTGATTTTGGTAAAGAACAATGACCTTCTAATTGCCAAATTCAGTGGACCCTGGTTCTCATCTTAGCCTTCCCACGTGTTATTTTCCTTTTTAAATTTTCTTCACCATTAGCTTCCATAAGATTGCTTACTATTTCTCTAAACTCTGTCTGCCCCCAAAACAGTTGTGGTGTGTCAATGATTTTCGCCTTGGTTCCCTCTGGGTGATCTCTTCTACTGCCATAATCTCACCCACTACCATCTGTATGGTATATACCATCTATCTCCAGTCCAGATTTATTAATTTCTTTTTTTTTTTTTTTTTCAGACAGAGTCACCCAGGCTGGAGTGCAATGGCACAATCTTGGCTCACTGCAACCTTCACCTCCCGGGTTCAAATGATTCTCCTGCCTCAGCCTCCCTAGTAGCTGGGATTACAGCACCTACCAACATACCCAGCTAATTTTTGTATTTTTAGTAGAGACAGGCTTTCACCATGTTGGCCAGGCTGGTCTCAAACTCCTGACCTGGTGATCCACCCGCCTCAGCCACCCAAAATGCTGGGATTACAGGCATGAGCCACTGCACCCAGTCTAGACTTCTTAATTTCTATATTCATATATCCAGCTACCTACTGGAGAATGCCACCTGCCCATGGCTACCTCAACTCTGTAGTCAAAATAGAACTCCTGTTTTTTCCCAAACCCACTCTTCTTTCTATTTTCCTACCTTAGTGAATAGTACCAACTATCACCCAAACATCCAAGCTCAAAACCAAGGAATTATTTAATATTCCTCTCTTTCTTTCACCCACCCCACACCTGGATACCTTCGTTTTTTTTTTTGTTTTTGTTTTGTTTTGTTTTTTTGAGATGGAGTCTCGCTCTGTCGCCCAGGCTGTAGTACAGAGGAACAATCTTGGCTCACTGCAACCTCCATCTCCTGGGTTCAAGCGATTCTCTTGCCTCAGCCTCCCAAATGGAAACGCTGCATACAAAGCCTACCTCCTGGCCCCTACCCACTTCTCTAGTCAGATATATCTCACTGAATTAGCTGTAGTTCCTGAAATGTACCGTGTTGTTTTATACCACTGAGCTTTTGTCTAAGTTGTTCCTTCTGCCTGGAGTAGTTCACTTTCTACTGACCTTGTGAACAATTTCTCAACTTTTAGGACAGAACCCAAGTATCATTCCTCTAAATAGTCTCCTATATCTCCCTTGGTAGTCAACCACTCCTTCCTTTGTATCCTCTCTCCCTAACTGCTATAGAGTTGTTTTTTGTTGTTGTTGTTTTTGTTTGTTTTGAGACAAAGTCTTGCTCTGTCACCCAGGATGGAGTGCAGTGGCATGATCTTGGCTCACTGCAACCTCTACCTCTCAGGTTCAAGCAATTCTCCTGCCTCAGCCTCCTGAGTAGCTGGGACTACACATGCATGCCACCATGCCTGGCTAGTTTTGTATTTTTAGTAGAGATGGGGTTTCACCATGTTGGCCAGGCTAGTCTCGAACTACTAACAGGTGATCCACCTGCCTTGGCCTCCCAAAGTGCTGGGATTACAGGCATGAGCAAGCGCACCCGGCCGGCATTAACTGCTACAGAGATGTCTATCATGAGAGTCATACATGTTATAACCTGTTGCAATTATATATTTACATGTCCATCTTCTCCTCTACTCTAGGATCAGGTTTTATGCAATACGCCCAAGGTCTATTTTGTGACTGTAATCAATAAACATATGCTAAGTGAAACTACAATTTTTACCAAAGGAGACCAGGCAATGGTACAAGCAATTTTAAAACACGTTGGCTTTAGGATGTATATAATGATAAGGGAAATAAGTTTACCTTATTCATTTTATTTGGCTGACATTAGTATTAAAACGAGTCTACACTGCTTAACCGCACACTGACAGAGTAGAAGGAATCACTGGAAACATGAGGGGGACTGGGAACAAATTTAATTGGAAATTTTTTAATGATACAGCTATTTGACACATTTCAATTTGTAAAATGCTATCACAAATTTTACTTCAATTAAAAATAAAGAGAGCGGGCTGGGCACGGTGGCTCACGCCTGTAATCCCAGCACTTTGGGAGGCGGAGGCAGGTGGATCACGAGGTCAGGAGATTGAGACCATCCTGGCTAACACGGTGAAACTCCATCTCTACTAAAAAGTACAAAAAATTAGCCGGGCGTAGTGGCGGGCACCTGTAGTCCCAGCTACTTGAGAGGCTGAGGCAGGAGAATGGTGTGAACCCGGGAGGCAGAGTTTGCAGTGAGCTGAGATGGTGCCACTGCACTCCAGCCTGGGCGACAGAGCAAGACTCTGTCTCATAAATAAATAAATAAATAAATAAATAAATAAAGCGATGCCCAGGTTCTATATGGAGTGCTGCAGTCACTCCAATAGACGCATCCGGAGGGATCCGGCTCCCTCTTCCTCGCCTGTTTCTGCTTCCTGTTATAATATACACAGCCACTAGATGGTGTACACTTCTAGCTTTAACATTTAAGAAACTATTCCTGAGTCTCACCACCAATTTCAACATAAAACAAGGAAGCCCAGGAAATCAAAACTTACTTAGTGTGGTTTTGGTACTGGGGAGCTAAAGGAAGCTTCCCAAGTTCATTATCCCCCTCCTACCATTCCCACTCCCAAGGTAGGTATAATGCTATGAATGGTCTAAGCTAAGACAATTATGAAGGCCACATTTTCAGTATGAACGTTCACTGCGCTGAGCAAAAGGAGTAAAACGATCACTCCATTACTAGCCACTATTTTCTATGCATGTTGGGGACTTTTATTTTTTTATTTTTTTATTTTTTTTTTTTTTGAGACGGAGTCTCGCTCTGCCGCCCAGGCTGGAGTGCAGTGGCCGGATCTCAGCTCACTGCAAGCTCCGCCTCCCGGGTTTACGCCATTCTCCTGCCTCAGCCTCCCGAGTAGCTGGGACTACAGGCGCCTGCCACCTCGCCCGGCTAGTTTTTTGTACTTTTTAGTAGAGACGGGGTTTCACTGTGTTAGCCAGGATGGTCTCGATCTCCTGACCTCGTGATCCGCCCGTCTCGGCCTCCCAAAGTGCTGGGATTACAGGCTTGAGCCACCGCGCCCGGCCTTGTTGGGGACTTTTAGAGGGAAAGGCTGACTTTGAGAGGGAAAGGCTGGCTGGCCAAGGATAGAACTTGGGTATTTCTGGGTTTCCTGGTTAAATACCATTATAATCTAACCCCATCTTTAGAATAACAGCTGTAATTGCTTTAATAACTGAAATTGGGTACACTTATTTTCTGGCTGTTGCTGTCATTTCTACTTAATAGCTGGCATGTTCTGGTTTGGCCTTTTCTTGCTTCTGCAGTGGTTAAGGTTCCGGTATTATCTGAACTCAACAGTGAAGAGGACAAAGTTGACTGCCACAAAACTGACTGCTGACTGGCTTTGGATTCTAAATTCTAGGCTAGCTCTAGCTTTTGGTGCTAATAAAGAATGTCATTTATGTGGCCTTGCCCCTATGGGTTTATTTCCCTCAGGAATCTTCTGGGGAAGACTGGCTGCTCAAGGACAGGATTCTGATCTTAATATCATCCTACTTTTAACAACTGGATTATATGTTTTTGAGGAATACTTACATATTAAATCTTCAGGACATAAAATTCTAAATAACTAAAACAAAAAAAACTCTTCTATATTGTCAGTTATGACAGCTGACTACTCTGTCATAAGCTGACTACTACAGTGGTGCGACTTTTCTCATTTCTCATAAAATGAGAAAAAAAGAAAGATGGACGAAAAAGGAAAGCTTCTGAAGAGATACTGCCATATTAAATGCCAGAAAGATCCAGCCATAACATGGCAAAAAAAAAAAAATAGATATACATAAAAAGCAGGAGATATAAACATAGGAGACAGAATCACACGAAAAGGAAATAGGGAGTCTCATTATTTTTATGTAAAGGCATAATGTCATTATTGAAGGGAAGTAATCAGCAAACTTTTTCTGTAAAGGACCAGGTAGTCAATAAGTATGGACTTTGCAGGCCATATGTTACTACTCCGCTGTTGGAGGAAGAAAGCAGTTACACGTGTAAACATGCAAGAAATGCGCAGGGCTGTGTTCTGATAAAAGTGGGTTTTTTTTGTTTTTTTGGTTTTTTTTTTTCTTTTTCTTTTTACAAAACAGCCATAGTTTGCCCAACCCATTTTGGAGAGGGCAAGTACAAACAATCTGTTGTTACTCCCTTATATAAGAGCAGCCTCAATATCTGTCAAACTCCTGAGAAGTACTGTTCAAACTCAATTAAACAGGTATGCTTTTTGTGTGTGTGTGATTAGAATGCTGGTTCCTTATGCTTTTTAAAATTTAAAATAAACTAAAACTGAGTATATGAAAAACAAATGGTATTTATGTCCAAAAAGATTTTTAAGTATTCACATTTCTATAGGGGCTGAAAACGTAAGTCTTTAAAAATTGATCTAGCCTTATTACAAGCAAAAAAAAACAAAACAATACAAAAATCCTATGGAATTGTCATAACTCATTTTGCAAAATACTGCCACTAAAAGCTATAAAGCACCTATTGGGGGAAAAGCACAATGTTAGATAACCTCTCTGTAGGTCTCATGCCCACCACCACTTCTCATGACCACATCAGAAGGCATTTACCCCACCGGCGTTAACTGCATTTTGTCCAATTTTCAGGATCATAAGGGGAGTCACACTGACTTAAACACTTGGAAATATTTTCTACTGGCAGGCACCAGGTGACTCTGGTAGCTAGGTAACTTTAGGAAACAAGGTGCTCCCACCCACACTCTCCCACCTCTTTATTCTGCTGTGTCTGCTGCCACCTCCAGCGCCTTTTCAATGCTTCCTTCTCGACTCCCTTCTCCATCAGTGCATACAAAGCTTTCCGCAGCATCAAGTCCCGATCATGGAAACCCCACATCCCTGTGGCAAAAAAGCATAATGGTAAGATACCTCAGCTTGACTCTGCTGACTGATGTATTTTTAGTAGAGACAGGGTTTCACCATGTTGGCCAGGCTGGTCTCGAACTCCTGGCCTCAAGTGACCCCCCCTGCCTTTTTACCCTCCCAAAGTGCTGGGATTATAGGTGTGAGCCATGGCACCAGGCTGCAAATAATATATTAAGTTGTAAATTGACTTAATTTTTTGTTTATTTGGTTTTTTTGTGGGTTTTTGTTTTTGTTGTTGTTTTTTTTGAGACAGAGTTTCGCTCTGTCCCCCAGGCTAGAATGCCATGTGTGGTCTTGGCTTACCGCAACCTCCGCCTCCCGTGTTCAAGAGATTCTCCTGCCTCAGCCACCCAAGTAGCTGGGATTACAGGTGCCCACCAACATATCCGGCTAATTTCTGTATTTTTAGTAGATACAGGGTTTCACGATGTTGGCCAGGCTGGTCTTGAACTTCCGATCTCAGGTGATCGGCCCACCTTGGCCTCCCAAAGTGCTGGGATTACAGGTGTGAGCCACCACGCCTGGCTTTTTATTTATTTATTTATTTATTTTTTGAGACAGAGTCTTGCTCCGTTGCTCAGGCTGCAGTACAGTGGTGTGATCTCGGCTCACTCACTGCAACCTTCGTCCCCCGGATTCAATGATTCTCCTGCCTCAGCCTCCCTAGTAGCTGAGATTACAGGCACCTGCCACCACGCCAGGCTAATTTTTATATTTTTAGTAGAGACGAGGTTTCACCGTGTTGACCAGGCTGGTCTCAAACTCCTGGCCTCAAGTGATCTTCCCACCTTGGCCTCCCACAATGTTGGAATTATAGGCGTGAGCCACTGCACCCAGCCCTTACTTTAAATGTTAAGCCTATTTACAGCGGGGCATGGTGGCTCCCACCTGTAATCCCAGCTACTTGGGAGGCTGAGGCAGGAGAATCGCTTGAACCCAGGGGTGGAGGTTGCAGTGAGCCAAGATCATGCCCCTGTACTCCAGCCTGGGCAACAGACTGAGACTCCACCTCAAAAACTAAATAAATAAAATAAAGTAAGTGTGTGTTACAAAGGACTGCTAAAAATGTATCTTTTTCATACACCAAAAGAATAAATATCAAGTAGAATTGTACACATACACACACATCTAGCTATACATTGCTGGCTTACTCCTACTCACTACTCTTGGGGTCAGCTTTCAAAGCCAGCCCAAGCTAATATCTGTGCTCTCTTCACTATCTCACTCACAAAGGCAGGGCTCACTCCCATTTCCTGTTGTGCCAACATAAACACACAGACACGCACATATGCATGCACAATCTTGCTCTGAACCATCATTTCTGCCTAAGATCAAGGTTGTCTGGATCAAGTCCTACACATGAGATTTGACTCAACTGCTTCCTTTCTGCAGGCAAATGGAGGACTGCTTTCAAGACTCACCAAGGGAGGCTGCATGCAGGAGACAGTTCCCATCTCCAGTAGTTGCCAAAGGAAGCAGCCTCTGACAGGTGGGATCCACACTCACCCACCAGTTCAAACGCCCTGTAGAAACAAGATATTGGAGGAAAAGGAGATTATCCATGAAGCTCTTCCCACCTTCCTATTTCTAAAACAGACTCCAAAGCAGCCTCCTCTAGGATGCCTACCCAGAATAAAACCATCACTCGATTACTCTTTATATCTTCTTCACTTATATCTAGTCAGTCAGAATCTTGTGAGCACAATTGGTTAGATCAGTGAGTAGTGTCAATTTTGTCCCAAAGGGACACTGGCAATGACTGAAGATATGTTTGCATGTCACAACTGGTAGCGGGATGCTACTGGTATCTAATGGGCAGAGGTCAGGGATGCTGCTAACCTGATATAATGCACAAGGCAGCTTGCAAAACAAAGAATTATCTAGACCAAAATGTCAATAGTACCAAGGTTGAGAAACCCTGGGTTAAATGATGAGGCTAAGGACATAAGTTGAAACCGTTGACTGCTTGGACTGGCTCTGATTCCTTCCCTCCACTCAGGAGACGAGTATGTATCACAGCAACAAAGCTCAGCAAAAATCCATCATGAACAAAACAAAAACAACTCAAAGCATGTATTTAAGGTGTCTTATGAGTATCATCTGCATATATGACAGTATGTCAGCATGTGTGGGGTGTGACTTTAAAGGAATTAGCAGTAAGATAAAGTACACAAAACACCCAAGAAAATAAGTTTTAATTCCATACAGTCATCCCACAATTGCCAACCCATTATTTACATGAGGAAAATATTTTATGAGTGATGCGTAAGTTTTCTTGAACTACTGCGGAGCATAGTTTCTTGAACTACTGAAAGAAACTGGCTTATAAACTCCCCAGACTTAAAATTATTAAGTTAGATAATTTACTAACTTAAAAAAACATTACAAATAGATGTATATGGTTAGTATAGAAGGTTATGAAATGAAAAATAAAAGCTTCCTTTCCATGCCCTCATCTAACTCCAGTTCTTATCCCACGCAAGCATTTTAATGCCTAATTAGATTTTCCAAAATTCGCAGCTGCCTTACCCTGTAAGAATTAATTTTAACAATAATTTAAGATAAACACAATTACAAAGGTAAATACATTTGGGGGGATAGGTTCACTACTGTGCATCATCTACAGCATTGGTCATTTTTGTTCACAAGGGTGTTCCAGGGCCATTTATAATTAGTTGTATTTTTTTCATGTATTGATTTCTAGGTATTGATTCCTAGGCCTTTTCACATGTATATCTGGTTTCTCTTCCATCAAACAGGAAATTCCCAGAGTAAAGTGTCTAATCTGTATCCTTTCTTTAAGGACAGCACAAGTTTATCCCACTGACTCCTGACTTTGACTGCAATCAGATCACACACTTAAACTGGAAGCTACCGATCAAGCACAGCCCCTCCACAAGGCTGCCTGTAGGTGGAGAGTAGAGGGAAGAGCGTGGGAGAGGAAGCACTCACTGACCTGCCTGTTCCAAGGCAACCAGCATGGACTGCTCAATGAGGTCTCTCTCTATGAAGCTGCGGAAGTCTTCATTATACACAGTGAGATCTGGAAGCTGGAAGGCACAGATGGGCATTTCCAGGGGGTGCTCATTGCTCCCCCCACCCCCACCATTGGAGGAGACATGGGACCGGGCCAGGGAAACAATGCTGGAGCTGGCGTGGGAGATGCCCCTAGACAGGCGTTTTTCTGCAATGAGAAATGGAGTCACCTTAGAACACACACAGCCCACTTGGAGAATTCTACACTGATGTGGTGATAGTTACCTCTCAACAAGGTTTACAAAGTCAGAGAAAAACTAAGTCTAACTGACTACTGAATTTCAGAATCCTTTTTCTGAAGCCAAATACAATTGGAGAAATAGAGAAAGTATTTTTGCAGGCACTCACATTAGCACCAAATATCCATTCCTCTTTCTACCCTTCTTTGGAATTTGCCTGATCTTCCCCTCCCTCTGACTCTGTCTTCCTCCACTGCCATTATTTCCCAATGTGATAGGGACCTATTCATTTAGCAATTTAGTCATTGTTTGGTGGGAGGAGAGGGAATAAGGGAAGTGAGATTTCACTAGACTAGAGTTAGTCAAATAATCTCTCTGGTAATTTCAGGGTCTTGGAAAATACCTTTTCTAAAGGGTATTTTCATTCTAGAAAGATTATAAAAGATTTCCATTATAGAAAAGAAAATCCTTTGGGAGGCCGAGGCAGGTCGATCACTTTAGGTCAGGAGTTCGAGACCAGCCTGGCCAACATGGTGAAACCCTGTCTCTACTAAAAATACAAAAATTAGCTGGGCATGGTGGTGTGCCCCTGTAATCCCAGCTACTCAGGAGGCTGAGGTGGGAAAATTGCTTGAACCTAGGAGGTGGAGGCTGCAGTGAGCCGAGATCATGCCACTGCACTCCAGCCTGGGCAACAGAGCAAGACCCCATCTCAAAAAAAAGAAAAAAAAAGACAATCAACAATAAATCTTACACATTTGGGAACTTTCTTCCTACATCAATAACATTAATCTATACTGCTTACTACAACTTTTCTCAATACACATTATTTATCAGAAATTTATAGGGACAGTCAATTCTTAACAGTCTATAGAGGAGGGCAATAATATAGATAGTACCCCACATCATTTCATTTGTTTTGAATACATGACACTTGTAATTCCCAAGCAGATATTCCATTGTGATTATAATTTGCTCAGTGCAGTATTACAAGTATTACAGTACATTTGTATGGCTTCAATTATGTAACAATTTAATGACGATCCAAAGGAGGCAAAATTTCAAAAGCATGTTGGGCCGTTCTTAATACAATATTTGCAATATATGATACACAAAATAAACTAAGTTGTCTAAAGTTATCTTATAGTGATGTTATTTTTAAAATACGTTTTAGTTTTGTTTTTTGTTTTTGTTCTTTAATTGAGAGAGTCTCACTCTGTCACTCAGGTTGGAGTGCAGTGCTGCAATCTCAGCTCACTGCAACCTCTGCCTCCCAGGTTCAAGAGATTCTCCTGCCTCAGCCTCTGAGTAGCTAGGATTACAGGCGCATGCCACCACACCCAGCTAATTATTTTTGTATTTTTAGTAGAGATGGGGTTTCTCCACATTGGCCAGGCTGTTCTCCTCAAACTCCTGACCTCAGGTGATCTGCCAGCCTTGGCCTCCTAAAGTGCTGGGATTACAGGCTTGAGCCACCACGCCCACCTTAAAAATATTTTTTAGGTATTCGTAGGCTGGGCATGGTGGCTCACACCTGTAATCCCAAAACTTTGGGAAGCCAAGGTAGAAGGATCACTTGAGCCCAGGAATTCGAGACCAGCCTGGGCAACAGAGTGAGACCCCATTTCTACAAAGAATCAAAAATTTAGCTAGGCGAGGTGGTGCGTGCCCATGGTTCCAGCTACTTGGGAGGCTGAGGCGGTAAGATCCCTTGAGCCCAGGAGGTTTAGACTGTAGTGAGCTGTGTTCCGCCAGCCTCACTCCAGCCTTGGGGGACAGAGCAAGACCCTGCCTCAAAAACAGTACCACGTGCCTATGGTAAAAAATTAATATACTATCAAAAAGTATCAAATGATTTCACAAGGAAGTCTTCTTCTCATTCAAAATTCCTGATCCCTTCCTCAGAGGCAAACTTTTGTATCCTTCTAGAAATTTTTATGCATACAGAAGCATATACAGGTTTTGGTCGGGCGTGGCATCTCACGCCTGTAATCCCAGCACTTCAGGAGGCCAAGGCGGGCAGATCATGAGGTCAGGAGATCGACACCATCCTGGCCAACACAGTGAAACCCTATCTCTACTAAAAATGCATATACAGCTTTTAAAATAGTCTTTTAAAACACAAATGAGAGTATACTACATACACTGTATTGCATCTTATCTTTTTGAAAAAAACTATATATATATTTTTATATGGAGTCTCACTCCATCACCCAGGCTGGAGTGCAGTGGCGCAATCTAGGTTTACTGCAACCTCTGCCTCCTGGGCTTAAGCAAGTGTCCTGCCTCAGCCTCCCGAGTAGCTAGGATTACAGGTGTGCACCACCATGACCAGCTAATTTTTGTAATTTTAGCAAAGACAGGGTTTCACCATGTAGGCCAGGCTGGTCTCGAACTCCTGACCTCAGGTGATCCACCAGCTTTGGCCTCGCAAAGTGCAGGGATTACAGGTGTGAGCCACCATGCCCAGCCCCTTTCTGAATAGATTTTAGAAATTTTTCCAAAACAGTACACCAAGTTCTACCTAATTCTTTCTAATGACTGCAGAGTATTCCACAATATGGATGATTAAAATTTACTTAACCACTCCTTTACTAATGGACATTAAATGTTTTCAGGGATAGGCACAGTGCCTCACACCTATAATCCCAGCATTTTGGGGGGCCAAGTCAGATGGATTGCCTCAAGGAAAAAAAAAAAAGTTTCAAGATGTAATTATTGTAAAATAATGCTGCTGTGAGTAACCTTATATGCTGCATTTATATATTTCTTTTTTAAAATTTTTATTCATTTATTTATTTACTTTTTTGAGACAGTCTAGCTCTGTCACCCAGGCTGGAGTGCAGTGGTGTAATCTCAGTTCACTGCAACCTCCACCTCCCAAGTTCAAGCAATTCTCCTGCCTCAACCTCCCAACTAGCTGGGATTACAGACATGTACCACCAAGCCTAGCTAATGTTTGTATTTTTAATAGAGATGGGGTTTTACCATGTTGGCCAGACTGGTCTTGAACTCCTGATCTCAGGTGATCTGTCCACCTCGGCCTCCCAAAGTGCTGGGATTACAGGCGTGAGCCACCACACCCGACCTCATGTATTTATTTAAAGGATACATATGTGCACATACACATATATGATAAATTGCTAGATATCAAATTGCTAAGTCAGAGTACGTATGCATTTTAATTTTGATAGATATTGGCAAATATTAACAAATTACCCCCCAAAGAGGTAGTGGTTCTTTCAATTCTACCTTTATGTGAACTTTATATCAACAAGGAGATTGTTATTCTCCTTCCTCTATTTCTTTCACAGTATCTGAGGAAGGCTTTTATACAAGATAACACTAAAGATGCAGAGATGCAGTGAGGGACTGCAGCACCTGGGCAGACTGAGGCCCCCTCAATCTGGGTTCAGCTGGGAGAAGGGGAAGAAATGGAATCACCTCCAGTGAATCACTAGACTTTATGACTCCATTTAACAATCCCCTCCCTTCCTACTCCATATACGGAAACATTCCGCAGTCACCCCAGTACCTTGAACGATGTCATCCTGCCGTTGGAGGATGGGTCGGGGAGGGCGAGAAGGCTCTCTGTCAGAAAATCCTTTTTCAGGGGTCCTGGAGCCACCAATCCCCTCACTAAAGGATGGGGGTAGGTTCCCAGCATGGACTTGACGTAGCTGTTCAAAATCACTGAGGGCGGCACTTACGTCCCAATTCTTTCCTGTCAGGAGACAAAGCAAAAAGCAAATTGTGCACCCATAGTATAGAGACACAAAGATCACACTAACTATCCTATCAAAACCAGCATGCAAATACGCATGCACATAATCATTCTTTTTTTCCTTACCCTGCTTTAATTTTCTTTATAACACTTCAATCTAACTTACCAAATGTCTTTACTTACTTATTTGTTGTCTATTTCCTAAGTAAGTGCCATGAAAATAGAAACTTTGTCCCTCTGAACTAAAAGAGCCCTTAAAGATCTAGTAACCTAAAATTAAAACTTCCTTTTACAGATAAAGTCTAGAGAAGTAAATTATTTGCCCAAAGTCACAGCTAGTTCACACCAGACCCAGTAGGACGCAAGCCCAGGTCTCCTAATTCTGAGATCCAAAGAGGTTCTTAGTCTACATGTACTCTAGTGTGCCCTAAACCACTAAACCTGCATATAAGATCATGGGCTTGTGCATTTTCTAGTGAAAGAGTTCATAGCTGTCATCAGCTTATCAAAGGAAACAGTATTTCCCCCAAATTTAAGAATCACCATTCTACTAAAGAAATGACCCTGAGGCCGGGCGCGGTGGCTCAAGCCTGTAATCCCAGCACTTTGGGAGGCCAAGACGGGCGGATCACGAGGTCAGCAGATCGAGACCATCCTGGCTAACACGGTGAAACCCCGTCTCTACTAAAAAATACAAAAAACTAGCCGGGTGAGGTGGCGGGCGCCTGTAGTCCCAGCTACTCGGGAGGCTGAGGCAGGAGAATGGTGTAAACCCGGGAGGCGGAGCTTGCAGTGAGCTGAGATTCGGCCACTGCACTCCAGCCTGGGCGACAGAGCGCGACTCCGTCTCAAAAAAAAAAAAGAAAGAAAGACCCTGAAAGATAAGATTTGTCATAATGCATTTTTCTGATGCTTTCTCCAGCTAAATTATTCAACAAATATGCATTGTATAATTGCTCACACTTCTTTCTCTTCTATTCCATCTACCACCACCTTCATTCAATTCCTATCACCTACTGTCCTACCTCCAATCCATTCCAAAGAATCCCATGAGATTAATCTTTCTAAAGCACAGTTGTGATGATTTTAGTTCCATAATCGAGATTTTTAATGGTTTACCACTGCCTACAGAATAAAACTCAGGCTCTTTGGCCTGATACTCAAGGCTTTATATGTCCTGGCCTACTTATCTGGCCTCTTCTCTGTGCTTCAATGTACTTATCCGTGAAAATGCAGATGACAGTAACAGAACCAACCTCATAGAGTTGTTATCAAGATTAAATGAGCTGAAAGCACTTAGAATAGTGCTTGGTTTTACTTACAATTTTACATCTAAATCATGACTGATGATTTTACTTCTAAATCATTACATTAGCCAATTGTTCTGACTCCCTTTGCTCACTCTGTTCCAGTCATCACTGACCTTGCTGTTCCTAGAACATGCTAAGTCCACTCCCACTCTAGGGCCTTTCCACTGACTATTCCCTCTACCTAGAAGGTTCTTTCCCCAATATATCCACACAGACAACTCCTCATTAGCTTTAGGTATTTGCTTAAATATCACATTGTTAGTAAGGCCTACCCTGACTTAAAAATCAAAACCCACTTCATCATTCCCTTTACTCTTCTCCATAGCACTTAACAGTTTATAATATACTTTATAATTTACTTAGTTATCACATTTGTTGTTTATTGACCCTCTCTCCTGCTAGAACATGAAGGCAGGTATTTTTGTTTGTTTTGTTTTGTTAGAGCATCCAGAACAGTACCTGGCACACAGTAGTTACTCAATAAATATTTGCTCAATTAATGGAGAACTCTTCTCCTGAATCAATGCATGAATGAGTGACATCTGCCTTGAGCATCAGATCTATACTTCCAACTGTCTGCAAATCTCATTAAAATCAGGTCTTCCTAACAATCCACATGGCCAAATTGAGTATCCATCATTTTCCTTCCTAAAACTTGCTGCGTCTCCTCTTCCTACATTCCTTAAATCAGTAATGGCATCACAATCCCTCCAGGCCCTGAAACTTCAGTCATTTTCAGCTCCTCAAGTTTCCTCAGATCACACTCTTCCTCTTCCCTCACCACCAAGTCAATCTTCATAGTTGTTTGTACCCCTAAAACATCTCTCAAATCCATTTCTTATTATCCATTTTTATTGCCACTGCCCGATTTGAGGTCCTCATAATCTTTACTTGGTCTTTGGTCTTTTAGGAAGGAATTCTCTATCTGATCTCTCTCCTCCTAATCTCTTTCCTCTCTAATTCGTTCTTTATAATATGATAGTTTACTTTTGATTTCTTTCTCTTCTTTTCTATTATCAGTATTGAACAGTCCTATTAGCCAGGTGTGGTGGTGTGTGCTCGTAGGCCTAGCTACTCAGGAGGCTGAGATGGGAGGCTCACTTGAACCCAGGAGGCAGAGGTTGCAGTGAGCTAAGATCACATAACTACACTTCTGCCCGGATGACAGAATGAGACCCCATCTCATACAAAACAAAACAAAAACCGAACAGTCCTATTGAAATACAATCAGTTAACTTGTTGTTGTTATTGAGATGGAGTCTTGCTCTGATACCCAGGCTGGGGTGCAGTGGCACACTCTCGGCTCACTGGAACCTCCTCCTCCTGGATTCAAGCAATTCTCCTGCCTCAGCCTCTCAAGTAACTGCGATAACAGGCGCGTGCCACCACTCCCGGCTAATTTTTGGTGTTTTTTTTTTTTTGAGATGGAGCCTTGCTCTGTCGCCCAGGCTGGAGTGCAGTGGCCGGATCTCAGCTCATTGCAAGCTCTGCCTCCCGGGTTTACACCATTCTCCTGCCTCAGCCTCCCGAGTAGCTGGGACTACAGATGCCCGCCACCTCGCCCAGCTAGTTTTTTGTATTTTTTAGTAGAGACGGGGTTTCACCGTGTTAGCCAGGATGGTCTCAAACTCCTGACCTCAGGTGATCCACCTGCCTCCGCCTCCCAAAGTGCTGGGATTACAGGCATGAGCCACTGCACCCGGCCTCAGTTTTAAAAGAAAAAACAAGCAACAGAAAGAAAATGAGGATGTGGTCCTTTTATGCCCCTTCTAAACTTTTTTCTTTTTTTTTTTCTTTTTCATTTTTGAGATGGAGTCTCATTCTGTCGCCCAGGCTGGAGTGCAGTGGCATGATCTCAGCTCACTGCAACCTCCACCTCCCGGGTTCAAGCCATTCTCTGCCTCAGCCTCCCAAGTAGCTGGGATTACAGGTGTGCACCACCATGCCCGGCTAATTTTTGTATTTTTTTAGTACAGACAGGGTTTCACCATGTTGGCCAGGCTGGTCTGGAACTCCAGAGTCTCGTTCTGTCACCCAGGCTGGAGTGCAGTGGTGCAATCTCGGCTCACTGCAACCTCCGCCCTACTGTGTTCAAGCAATTCTAACACTTCAGCCTCCTGAGTAGCTGGGATTACAGGCATGTGCCACCATGCTGAGCTAAGTTTTTTGTATTTTTCCTTCTAAATTATCTTAATTCCACCCACTTCTATCTATTGCTACCACCTTAGTCTACATCATCATCATCTGTCACCTGAACTAAGGCAATATTCCTAACTGTTTTAATCATTTATTCTCTGGCCAGAGTGTTCTCTACAAGTACACTGTTAAAAACTCAAATCCAGTCATGTCACTCCCCTGATTAAAATCCTTCACCAGTTTCCTAGTGAACTTAGAATAAAATTTCAACTCCTCACATCATAGCCTACAAAGGCCCTGCACTCTCTTTTTTTCTTTTCTTTCTTTTTTTTTTCTTAATAACTTTTTGTTGTTGTTGTTGAGACAGAGTCTCACTCTGTCACCCGGGCTGGAGCGTAGTGGCAGAATCTTGGCTCACTGCAGCCTGTGCCTCCCATGTTCAAGAGATTCTCCTGCCTCAGCCTCCCGAGCAGCTGGGACTACAGGCACCCGCCACCACACCCAGCTAATTTTTGCATTTTTAGTAGAGATGGGGTTTCACCATGTTGGCCAGGCTGGTCTCAAACTCCTGACCTCAGGTGATCTGCCTGCCTCAGCCTCCCAAAGTGTTAAGATTACAGGCATGAGCCACTGTGCCCAGCCTCTCTCTTTCTTCCTTTCTTTTCTTTTTTTTTTTTAAAAGAGATGAGGTCTTGCTATGCTGCCCAGGCTGGTCTCAAACTCCTGGACTTAAGCGATCCTCCCACTTCAGCCTCCCAGGTAGCTGGGATTATAGTGAATGCCACCGTACCTGGCTAGAGCCCCTATTTTCTGCTTCCTACCTATCTCACCAGCTTCCTACCACTCTTGCACCATTCTTACTACCTCATTATTAATAGTTTCTCCAATGTGCCAAACTCTCTTGCACCTTCGGGCCCTTGCACAAGCTGTTTATTCTGCATAAACACTCTCTTCTATATCCCTTTGTCTTGCTGCTCCTACTTGTCCTTCAGGGCTCAGCTTAAAAATCACTCCTCAGAAAAGGCCTTCCTGCACTCTAGATCTAAGTTAGGGTTCTTTCTTCACTCTCACAGAACCCTCGACATTTCTTTCACAGCATGTGTGTGTGTGTGCGTGTGTGTGCGTGTGTGTGCGTGTGTGTGCACGCACGCACGCGCACACATGTGAGCATGCTAGCAATGATTTATAACATAATTGTTTACAGCCACACTCTGAAACCAGATTGCCTAGGTTCAAATCCTACTTAACTTCACTGAGCCTCAGGTTTTAAAATTATAACTCCAGGATAATAAAACTTTATTGTACAGTGGTTGTGAGAATAAAATAACGTATCTCAAGTACTTTGCACATATTGAACACTCATAAGTGTTCAACACGTTATAAGAGGAATGCAGAAACGTTGAGGATTTTATGAAAGAGGAAACATTTGAGCTGAATCTTGAAGGACAAGGAGAATAATAGAGGAAAGAAATGCTGCAAACTGAGGAAGTAACCTAACATGATCACCAAGAAGTGACAAGTCAGGCCTGGCTGCATAGAAGTATAGGGAAAAGTAGTAGGAGATGAAACTAAATATGCAAATTAGGCTGGGCACGGTGGCTCATGCCTGTAATCCTAGCACTTTGGGAGGCTGAGGTGGGCGGATCACGAGGTCAGAAGTTTGAGACCAGCCTGGCCAGCATGGTGAAACCCCATCTCTACTAAAAATAAACAAATTAGCTGGGCACCTGTAGTCCCACCAGCTACTCGGGAGGCTGAGGCAGGAGAAACGCTTGAATCTGGGAGGCGGAGGTTGTGGTGAGCCGACATCGCGCCACTGCACTCCAGCCTGGGTGACAAAGCAAGACTCCGTCTCAAAAAGAAAAAAAAAAAAGAAAATGCAAATTAAAGGCAAAGCTATACTGAATTACTAAACTGCAATTTAAACCCTGATCTTCTGTTTCCAAACTCATGCTATCCTCACAGGTAGCCAAGCAAATGTCTAATTGTCACACCTTGTTAAGGGCTGGCAATTTAAAATATTACCTATGTATGCTAAGAACTTGTCCCTTCCCCATAGGCCTGCCTGTTTGTGTCATTACATATTTTCATATTGCCATCTATTATTTGTGACTGTAAACAAAGAATCCTAGGGACATGATTCTAACCCTTCAGGACCTTAAAATCTAGAATATTCAGCTGGGCACGGTGGCTCATGCCTGAAATCCCAGCACTTTGGGAGGCTGAGGCAGGTGGATCACCTGAGGTCAGGAGTTCGAGACCAGCCCGACCAAAATGGAGAAAACCCATCTCTACTAAAAATACAAAATTAGCTGGGTGTGGTGGTACATGTCTGTAACCCCGGCTACTCCAGAGGCTGAGACAGGAGAATTGCATGAACCCGGGAAGGAGGAGGTTGCAGTGACCCAAGATTGCACCACCACACTCTAGCCCGGGCAACAACAGCGAAACTCCGTCTCAATAATAATAATAATAAAAAAATCTAGAACATTCAAACTTATGTATATAAAGATATAAGTAAACAAAAGCAGCAAAATGAAAACATTAAATTGATCTACTCAACATAGAATTCCCTGTAATGTATGTTATGTAAGGAAAGAACAAAACCATGGATGATCCCATCATGAAAACCCTAAAGACACTTATATATAAAGAGGAAGTCTTAAAGATCTAAAATTATGTTTTTAGGCTGGGCACAGTGACTCATGCCTGTAATCCCAGCACTTTGGGAGGCCAAGGCAGGCAGATTACCTGAGGTAAGGAGTTCAAGACCAGTCCGGCCAACAGGTGAAACCTCAACTCTACTAAAAAATACAAAAATTAGCTGCGTGTGGTGGCAGGCACCTGTAATCCCAGTTACTCGGGAGTCTGAGGCAGGAGAATTGATTGAACCTGGGAGGCACAGATTGCAGTGAGCCAAGATCGTGCCAGTGCTCTCCAGCCTGGGCAATAGAGCGAGACTCTGTCTCAAAAATAAATAAATAAATGAAAATAAAATAAAATTATGTTTGTAATGAACTAATATAAAATTTCACTTGCACTGCCTGAGCATAAACTGACAGTGGAAAAAACTACCCCAGGAAGTTCAAGGTGAAAAAGGGATTTTAAAATTTCAAATTATGATGGGTTACACACAAAGTGTATCATTAGAATTAACTGTAGGGCCTACCATACACAAAGTATCTTCCTGATCACCTTAAATGTTCCAAATCATCCTAATGATAAATACTACATTTTACTTTCTTTTTTCTCATTCTCCCCTACAACTCCTCACCTTCTAGGAGATCTCGCGCTAGCCCTGGCTCTGCTCCTGTGGAACGGACAAAATCCGACAGAACAGCATCCATGTCCAGGGTCATGTGATCATCAAGTACTTTCAGCCAGCTGGATGTAGGTAGAACATAGATCAAAATTCAGGCATCCACCTGAGGAATAAATAAATACATAAGGCTCAAATTACACTGGAACAGGATAATCACAGCCCCATGTCAGCACCTTCCTAACCAAATGGGGAAACTATCCTAGCTCATTCATTTCAGTTGAATTTTAAAATACAGCACTTTAAAATTATGAAGAGTAACATTTTATTTCCTAACTCTTCATTAACATTAATATCTCAACATCTACATTAACCAGTAACCTGTAATACCACTCTGAAAAATGCTTTTCCTGTACTTTTCCTGAGTACTGCTTTTCTACCATGAGTTTGCTTATCCAAACTAAAGAAGGAAGCAACAGGCTACTATCCTGAAGAACTCCCCACCTGCAATAGTCTCTAACATGGTAGCTTTGTTTATTTCCTTCCTGGCACTTGAATACTCTCAAATTATTTTAATTAGTTGCTGTCTAGCCATCTCCTCTAATATAAAAGTTTCTTGAAAGCAGGAAACTTGTATGTCTCCTTCACTAATATATCCCCTGCATGTATCGCTTGGCACAGTGCTAGGCACACTGGCCCTCAATAAATATTTGTTGAGTGAATGAACAATTACTATACACTGGATAATTTCAGAGTTGACTAGTGTTTTGATGCTAGCAGAGGAGTAAACTGATAGCTAAAACTACTCAAAATACAATATTAGGCCAGGTGCAGTGGCTCACGCCTTTAATCTCAGCACTTTGGGAGGCTGAGGCAGGTGTATCACCTGAGGTCAGGAGGTTGAGATCAGCCTGGCCAACATGGGGAAACCCCGTCTCTACTAAAATTACAAAAATTAGCCAGGTATGGTGGCAGGCACCTGTAATCCCAGCTACTCAGGAGGCTGAGGCAACAGAATCACTTGAACCCGCGTGGGGCGGACTTTGCATTGAGCCGAGATCACACCACTTCAGCCTGGTCAAAAGAGTGACTCTCCATCTCAAAAAATTAAATTAAATTAAATATAAGTTACTCCACAAAGCAAAGTGGGGACCTGAAAGGTTCATAACAAGAGTCAATCTCTATCCATTAACCTCATGAACCCAGGAAACACATCTACTCCAAACACGTCTTTCTCCACGCAGGACAAATGACTGCCAAATAAGTTCAACTGAAAAAGATCTCTTCTTTCAGACTTTGGCAGAAATTATGTCCCTGACCTGACAGCTGGCACCAATCCAACATTCCTCTGAGGTTAAAAGTCAGAGGGAAGCAGTAAGAGTGAAGAACAATCTCTGACCAAATTCTGCCAAGTTTACAGTTTTCTATAGAAGACTCATTCATTAAGTCGCCAGGTACACTTTCCCTACCATACCCACCAATCCCCTGCCTTTTGGGAAAGGTCAAAGTATAATTGTTGAAGGCAATAAGTGACAAGGCAAATAAACAAACAAGATTTGTGGGTTATAAAACCAGTAGGTCACGAACTTGCTAACACTGGATTTTTTTTTTTTTTTTTTGAGAGAGAGAGATGGCAAAATAGAAATTATTCTCTCTTGTCCTGTTCTAGTAGTACAAGAGATCCGTGAGTGCAGGGACACGATTTCTTCATTTTTGTAACTCCAAGATCTAGTGTAGCATCTACAATATAGTAGGTAGTCAAATGTCTGAAGAATAAATGATTCAATGACTAAGCCAACTTCCACATCAGCTACCAACAAACCAACCAATTTGAAGCTTAGCAGATCAGAAATTCTAGGGCACTTCTTATCACCCTTCTATTTCTAAGTTTTAAAAACTCTCCTTTCTAAAGGGACATCAACCATGCTGTCACTACTCTTACCACCCTCACACTATATGAGTTTACCTACATACACCTATATGTATTAACTAGGTGACTTTGGTCAGATTACTTACAGGGTTTCAGTTGTCTCTTCTATAATCTAGACTTGGATTAGATGACTCCTAAGATACTTTCAAGGTTTAAAAAATAAACTTCTTCAGTTCACTACAGCCTCATGATCTATGATCTTTGACTATCTATTATTCTAGATATTGTCAATTTTAAATTTACCTGAGTTTCAATATCATAATTATCAGAAAGAATTACTAATACATAAAGAACTTTTGGTCTAAGATACCTCAAATTCAAAATGTCAAGTTATAAAGTAAATCAGTCCCTACCTTCAGGAATTAGGAATTAAATTCAGAATCAATAGATGAATAAATCCTCCTCCCATCCCCCAATATAGGCAAGAATTTCTTCTCCAAACCCATTTTAGCCACAGCCTTAGGTCACAGGAAGTGGTACCAGCTCAAATAATTTATACACGGCCGGGCGCGGTGGCTCAAGCCTGTAATCCCAGCACTTTGGGAGGCCGAGATAGGCGGATCACGAGGTCAGGAGATCGAGACCATCCTGGCTAACACGGTGAAACCCCGTCTCTACTAAAAAAATGCAAAAAAACTAGCCGGGCGAGGTGGCGGGTGCCTGTAGTCCCAGCTACTCCGGAGGCTGAGGCAGGAGAATGGCGTAAACCCGGGAGGCGGAGCTTGCAGTGAGCCGAGATCCGGCCACTGCACTCCAGCCGGGGTGACAGAGCCAGACTCCGTCCCCCAAAAAAAAATAAAAAATAAAAAAAAAAATTTATACACATGAATAATCCAAAACCAAGTGTATAGCTGCAAAATAAATTTCAATCTTCTTTCTTTAAAAAAAGCAATGCAACTATAAAGCCATTTTAATAACTTTCTGAAAGAATGTGAGAAATATACAATAAGTACACAAAATAGTAATCACAAACAGGTGCTCAGCAAAAAGGAAGACTTGACTAAGCCATAGGCATGTAGGCAATTTCACAGCCAGTCTTCTGAGTGAGAGAAGTGAATCAAAACCAGTGTTATGGCATCATAGACCTCACATGTCAACATAGCACACAGGCTATTCTTTAAAAAAACATATTTTAACAAAGTAATTTAGAGGCTCAACATTATCTAGAATGCCTTGCTCTTTAGCAAAAATTTGAAGCACTAAGCCAAACTTCTTAACAGCACATTCTTACATTTGATGTCTCCAGGTGCATGCTGTGGACCCTGACCTAAACCCACCCAACAGGTGAGATCAACAGCTTTTGTTACAATCACCACTAATACCTTGCTTAAGCTTTTCAAATTCCAAATGGAGATATCAAACCAATGATTAAAACACAGTGTTTGGGCCAGGCACGGTGGCTCATGCCTGTAATTCCAGCACTTTGGGAGGCCGAGGAGGGTGGATCATCTGAGATCAGGAGTTTGAGACTAGCCTGGCCAACATGGTGAAACCCTATCTTTACTAAAAATACAAAAATTTGCTGGGCGTGGTGGCTAGTCCCAGCTATTAGGGAGGCTGAGGCAGAAGGATCACTTGAACCAGGAAGGTGGAGATGCAGTGAGCTGAGATAGCACCACTGCACTCCAGCCTGGGCAACAGAGCAAGACTTTGTCTCAAAAAAAAAAAAAAAAAACTTCGGGCTGGGCACAGTGGCTCATGCCTATAATCCCAGCACTTTGAGAGGCTGAGGCAGGAGGATCACTTGAGCCCAGGAGTTTGAGACCAGCCTGGACAACATAGTGGGACCCTGTCTCTAAAAACCTTTTTTAAACTAGCTAAGCATGGTCGTGTGTGCCTGTAGTCCCAACTACTCGAGTGGCTGAGGTGGGAGGATTGCTTGAGCCTGGGAGGTCAAGGCTATATAGTGTGTGACAATTGTGCCCCTACTCTTCAGCCTGGGTGACAGAGTGAGACCCTGTTTCAAAACAAACAAACAAACAAACCAAACCAAACACAGTTTTTGGCTCAGTCTCAGGGAGAAGGATGAGGAGGAGGAGAAGGAGGAAGGGGAAGGGGAGGGGGAGGGGAAGGGGAGGAGGAGGAGAAGGGGGAAGGGGAAGGGGGAGGGGGAGAAGAAGAAAACCAGTGGCTTTCAACCTTTCAAATAAAACAGAGGAGGTTTTCAACTATTTGTTAACTGAATGGTGTAAAGACAGCTCTCACCTGGCATCAACATCTTCCAACTGAAAGGGCCTTTAGCAATTACTTAATCCAAATACCTGCCCCCATGCAAGAATCCTTCTATTACATCTCTGACATAAATCACATAGTCTCCACTTGAATACAAGGTCTGACAGGGACCTCATTACTCTGCTATAATGTCTACTTTATTAGTGGATAGTTTTAACTGTTAGAAAATGCTTTTCTAAACTAAAACAAAAGCTATCACCAGCCTCACACCCCAACTATAACTTTCACATACCGGTCTTGATTCTGTTCTCCAGGACAATAAAACCTACTTCCCAAGGATGATGGAATTTTCACGCAAAATTATTAGACAAAGCATTCTTTACATAAACATTTGTTGTAGATCAACATCATGATGTTGTTATGAGCCAAACAGTGGCCTTTATTTATAAAATCCTATCTTATATCGTTACTTGCTTGTATCTATATTCATTCATAAATATTTGTGCTGACCTCATTACATAAACTTAACAGGCTGAATAAATTATCTTGTTCAAAATTCGCTTCTGCTGTCTTTGCCTCTCACCCCTACTTCCACTTCCACACCATCTTGAAGTAATGACAGCAGTCAAGATTAAAAACTAACAAGTTAATATTAGTTAAGCACTTCTAAAAACACTCTTACTCGGCCGGGCACGGTGGCTCACAACTGTAATCCCAGCACTTTGGGAGGCCAAGGCGGGTGGATCGCGAGGTCAGGAGATCGAGATCATCCTGGCTAACACAGTGAAACCCCGTCTCTACTAAAAATACAAAAATTAGTCAGGTGTGGTGGCGGGCACCTGTGGTCCCAGTTACTTGGGAGGCTGAGGCAGGAGAATGGCGGGAACCCGGGAGGCGGAGCTTGCAGTGAGCCGAGATCTGGCCACTACACTCCAGCCTGGGTGACAGAGCAAGACTCCATCTCAAAAAAAAAAAGTAAATTTAAAAAAAAAAACAAAACACTCTTACTAATTAATGACAAAACTCTTGCAGCAGGTCTCATTCCCAATTTATAAATAGAGAAA